CTGTAGTCCCAGCTACTTTGGAAGCTGATGTGGGAGGATTGCTTGAGCCCAGGAGTATGAGGCTGTAGTGAGCTATGATTGAGTCACTGCATTCCAGCTCTGGTGACAGATTGTAGCTCTGGGCAACAGAGGGAGACCCCATCCTTCCCCCTACTCCACCAAAAGAGTGTCTTTTGTAGGGGAATGAGATGACTCTTGGCTGAGGATCCTAGATAGCTTCTGGATTGGGCTGGTCTCCAGAAAAACCAACCATATGTCCAGAGGGTTGGAATGTTCCATCCTCCTTCCACCTCTTTTTATGCCCCTTAAATCATCATGTCCCAATCATTGTGAAAGTGCTCTTTAATCTGGGGAAAAAGCTAGAATGTCACCATGCATCTGTTTAAGACTGCAATTGTTATGCTCATTTTTGATACTGAGGTTTTGAAGAAGGGAGGATGTTGATGGCATTTACAGAATGGAAAAATGGTTGTTTCATTTTTTTTGGCACAGAAAAGTGCTATTCAATAAGTACATCTAGGTTTAATTCCAAAATTTCCTGCCTCTTTAGCAAACGATCTAGGTAGGATAACTTATAAAAGACACAAAATTAATAACACGGGCATAAAAGGGGGCAAATCAAGATAAGGAAGAGTGCAACAAGTATCTGGATCATGCAGATTTAGCAGAGGCACAGGCTCTCTGCTTCCTGATTGCACAACAGAGAAGGAAATGTGAAGAATTACACAATTTTTATCATATGAAGTGAGGACACATAACAGCTTCTCAAAGCGTGGGTGGAGGAATACAAAATGATTCCTAGAACCCACCCCTGAGATGTTCAGTCTTCATGGTGGACTCTGAGTAGAAGAAGATGTGTCCTATAATGAACAATGTCCTCATTAGTGTTCTCATAGTAGATGCAAATGTAATCCTAATAGAGATTGAATGTGTGCCCCACCCAAATCTCATGTTGGAATGTAATCCCCAATGTCAGAGGTGAGGCCTGGTGGGAAATGATTGAATTATGGGGGCAGATTTCTCATGAACGGTTTAGCACTATGCCCTTGGTACTGTCCTTGCAATGGTGAGTGAGTTCCTGTGAGATATAGTCGTTTGAAAGTGTGTGGCACCTCTCCTCGAGCTCTCTTGCTCCTGCTCTCTACGAGTGATGTACCTGCTCCTCCTTTACATTCTGCCTGATTGGAGGCTTCCTGAGGCCTCCCCAGAAGCAGATGCCACTACGCTTCCTATGCTTCCTGTACAGTCTGCAGAACCATGAGCCAATTAAACCTCTTTTCCTATAAATTGCCCAGTCTTGGGTATTTCTTTATAGGAATGCAAGAACAAACCAATACAAATCCCTAGTAAAATCAAAGGTATAATATTAGAGGTATAAGTCTGTAACGTGGTTGATAAACGTGGCTTGCAAGTGTTATAACTTTCATAGCACTTAGAATATACCTTAAATTATGTTGCCCAAAGATAATTTTGACTGGCATTTTGGCAGGAGTTGGTCGTTCAATGGCTCAAAAGGGGCCTGGACTCATTGATTGTTCCATTCTGATCATTAAGGCCAGATTCTAGAAACTGGGCAGGAAGTTGGCAGTGCTAACATTCTATGATGAAAATTACAGTTCTGCTATGGTTTGAATGTTTGCACACCTCCAAAATTCAAGTTGAAACTTAATTCCCCATTGCAACAGTATTAAGAGAGGGGGTCCTTTAGGAGGTGATTAGATCATGATGGCTTCTCCCTGGTGAATGGGATTAAGGCCCTTATAAAAGAGGCTTCACACAGTGTTTGGCCCTTCTTGCCCTTCTGCCTTCCACCATGTGAGGACACAGTGTTCGTCCCCTCTGAAGGACTCAGCAACGTCTGGAAGCAGAGAGTAGCTCTCACCCGACACCAAACTTGCCTTGATCTTGAACTTGCCAGTCTCCGGAACTGTGAGAAAATGAATTTCTCTTCTTTATAAACTACTTAGTCTCAGGTACTTTCTTAGAGCAACACAAAAGAATGAAGTAAAACACAGCCTCTAGCCAGAATTTTTATGTCCTATTCCTGTATTCTTGTATTCTATCCTGCCTCCATGGGGAGATGAGGCTATAGAGTATCTCAACACAAACCGGTTGGGATTTTCCTCTAATAGCTAAGCTAGAGATCAGTGGAGACCTCCTAATGCAACCCAGAGAAACATGGAAAAGTTGGAAGAGGTTTTAGCCTGAAACATGTTCAGATACCCACTAATTAGCTCATACTAGCGAATTTACCATGGCCATGGCCACGCTGCTCTGGAGCACAAGTCATCTTCTAGATCACCAAAGGAAATGACTTCCTGTGATTATCTGATGACATCTACTTAAGTGCTGGAGAATGTCTGCCAGCAACAGCATGACCGCAGTGAGAATGCACCTGGCAGACCTTCGCGTTATCGTGCTGGTGTGCACAGAGGTGTTTTCCCACATGCTGCTCCCAGATAATGACTGGACGTGACAGGACTATTACTGCAGGCTGCTTCCTGGGTCACACAGGACTCCTCTGAGGCTGATGTTGTCACGACCCCTGGGTCTCCAACAGCCTTGCCAAACCTTCCATGGATTACTGGATAGTCTGGGAGTTTCCACCCAAATGCTCCTTCCTCCCTCCTTCACTTAGGCTTAGAGTTGCATTGCAGCTCTCCCATACTTCACTCCCTTCCTCTCCATCTTCTCTCACACAGTCATTTCCTCTAATAACATTTTTGCATGTTTAATCCCATCCTGGCATCTGCTTCATGGAGGACCTGAATTTGTTTTTATTTCAATTGATATTTAACCTTTCTGACAACAGAAACACAGTAGGTCTGTGCTTCTCACAGGAAGGACCTGACCAATTTCAATTTATGAGGGTTTTTTTTTTTACGCCAAATTTCTGTACTAGGTGAATATTCATCCTTCTATTCCATATGACAGAGGGATAAGCAGCTGATTCACCTAAAACAGTATCACACTCTTATAGTATACAAGAAAAAGGAAGGAGGTTATAACCTAGCCTTGCTTTAACATTGAGGGGGTTATTTTATTTTATTTTTTATTGTTTGAGACAGGTTCTCTCTGCTACCCAGGCTGGAGTGCAGTGGCACAATCATGGCTCACTGCAGCCTCTACCTCCTGGGCTCAAGCAATTGAGGGGTTCATTTTAAATGTATAGTGTAATCCACATTTAAGCCCTGTTTGCAGAATGAGAGGATGATGAAAGAAAGCTCAAGGAAAGCTGCAGAGTCTTAATCTTGCTTTTGGCAGCACCAGCCCTGGCATCCACCTCGGGACCTCGTTCACAAAGACAGAGAATTAACATTTGTTGAATGAATGAAGGCGATGCCATACAAAGATTGTATGGTTCCTTTCAGAGCCTAAATATTTAATAGGTGGGTCACTGAGGGTCTGAACTAGAATATTTGATACGCAGACATCCAGGGTTGAGAGTCAGATGTTCTGCAGAGAGATGGATGGAAGGGTACCTATAGGGTTCTGCAAGCTCAGTAATAGATGTTGTTGAAGAAGAAATACAAGTTAGAATCAGGACGGGACACACAGAGAATGTACCTCTTTGGGGTCAGTAAAAAAAGGGAAGGAGCCCAGAGGAAGCACTCAAGATCAGTTGAAAACTGATATCCCAAATGTTTTGGCATAGTTCTAGGAAAAACTCTCCTACATTTCAAAGTCCAGATAATACTGACTCCACCCTCTGACACAGAGGACTTCTTTGGCAACAGAGCACAGGAGTGGTACATGAAGGCAAAGGCCATTTGTCTTAGCTCATGTCAAATGGTAAAGCAGAGCTTCTTTTATTTTAATTTAGCTATTCAAGCTGCTGAAGCTATGCCCAAAAGCCCTAGCCCTTTCTCTGATATGAGTCACAGAGTCCCTATGTTTCCATATTGGGAGCAACTTTTTTTTTTTTTTGAGACGGATTCTCGCTCTTGTTGCCCAGGCTGGAGTGCAGTGGCACGATCTTGGCTCACTGCAACCTCTCCCAGGTTCAAGCGATTCTCGTGTCTTAGCCTCCTGAGTAGCTGGGATTACAGGCACCCGCCATCATGCCTGGCTAAGTTTTTTGTATTTTCAGTAGAGACAGGTTTTCACCAAGTTGGCCAGGCTGGTCTCGAACTCCAGACCTCAGGTGATCTGCCTGTCTTGGCCTCCCAAAGTGCTGGGATTATATGCATGAGCCACCACACCCAGCGCAATTGTTTTTTATAACTAGAAATGTGTTGGGCTTTCCTCCAACAAACCAGGAAGGTCAAGAGATACGTTCTAGAGACCTCTTTGTGGTTGCTTAATGCAGAGCTCATGCAGACACATCTGCAAACCTAAGGAAACGACCCTCTAAGGACTGGTTAGCCACTTAAAATGCGGGCCAAGATAGGCTATTAAATTCGAATCCTCACTGCTTCATTACAGCTTCCTCATATTGTTAGCCTACAAACTAAGTTAAGGACACACTTAAATTCCTTCACTGGCTTCATTGCCCTATTAATTCCTGCTAGTACATATATTCCCCTATATTTTCTTTTCTAAAAGATACGAGTGGAACCTACAACTTTGTGAAGCCAGATATTTTTGGATTTTTACTTTCCTGGGGAAGTGACAGTTTGTCTTTTTTTTTTTGGGGGGGGATGGAGTCTCACTCTGTTGCCCAGGCTGGAGTGAAGTGGTGCGATCTTGGCTCACCACAACCTCCGCCTCCTGGGTTCAAGTGATTCTCCTGCCTCAGCCTCCTGAGTAACTGGGATTACAGGCACCTGGCACCACACTGCGCTAATTTTTGTATTTTTAGTAGAGACAAGGCTTCACCATGTTGGCCAGGCTGGTCTCGAACTCCTCACCACAGGTGATCCACCCGCCTTTGCCTCCCAAAGTACTGGGATTACAGGCGTAAGCCACCATGCCCAGTCAGTTTGCGTTCTTTTAAAATAATTTTTCAGTGGTCTCACAGGCCTTAGCGTGCCTCTTACTAGAGGCCCATTTCAACATACCTCCGGTCTGTGGGGTACAGTTCCACAGTGACCACGTCAAGAGAGTTCCAGGCCGAGATGGTCAATCCATTGTACAGACACAGCATGCCTATCATCATGGATTCACTGGTGCCAAACCAAAGGAAGAAACAGCTGATGCCCGAAAGCACCATAGAGCCACCTGCCAACAATGCAGACAAAAGGTTGGAATGTTTCCCGTCATCTTAGTAAAGCAAGAACCCTTGGGTCCTTGCAGTTGTTCAAGAAAACTGAATTCTAAGTGGAAGCTGCAGGATGGGCTCCATAAAGCTCAGCAACTGGTGCGTTCACCTGAATGAAAGGCCCTAACTGCCTCTCAACACAGAAAGTACGAAATGCATATCATCTTTTACTCAGCTACTTAAGTGGGAAAATACACATTTTACACATAAGTAGCTTTTCAGTCTGTTAACTCATGGAAACCACTCAAATGAAATGTAATTAGACATAATTTTCACTATAATTTAGTCCTAATGTGAGGTCTAAGGGATTTCTCCTCATTGGATGCAAATCCCTAATAGATGGGAGTAAGGGGAAACAGGGTCCCTCTGGATTGCAGGGGCAGCTCTTTCATTTGACATGAAACTGAGTACCTACCTAGCATTGTTAAGCGCCCAATTCTGTCCATCAGCAGAGCAGACACGATGTTCCCTGGCAATACTGCCAATGTCCCCAGAAAGTTGACAAAATAAATCCAGTAGGCACTATAGTCATCATCAAAGGTAATCTGACATCCCGTCTTGTTGTGAAAAAATGAGCAGTTTTTAAATTCACTGTCAATGAATTTATATGGCTCAAAATCTGTAGAAACAACAACAAAGAGAATTCATTAAGTTCTTATCAGGCATGCACCAGTATAAGAAAGCCTATTGAGAATTCAGAGACGAATCACAGTATTGTAAATTCCTTGAGGGCTTTCAGGCCTGTGCTGGCTGGACTTTTTGTGTCTTCTGGCCAAAGCATAGGATCTAGTCTGGGTCTTCACATTATAAAGTAGCTGAATGATGAGATACCTTTGTTGAATAAAGGAATAAATTAAATTAAGGGGTCCAGCTATCTTCTTGTTTCCTATGGTTGGCCATTGCTAATTATATTACTTGCTTACTCCTTTACAATATTACTTTGTCCTAATTGTCATGTTATATAAAGACTATCACTATAGTACTAATAGTGTCCACACTACAATTATAAAAACAATTTGTTTCAAAATGTGCATGGGCTGGGTATGGTGCCTCACGCCTGTAATCCCAGTGCTTTGGGAGGCTGGGATTTCAAGACTAGCTTGGACAACATAGTGAGACACCATCTCTACAATAATAATAATAATAATAATAATAATAATTTTTTATTTGAGGCTGCAGTGAGCTGTGATTGCACCACTGTACTCCAGCCTGGATGACAGAGCAAGACCCTGTCTCTAAGGAAAAAAAAGTGCAAGAGTCAGCCTTATTGTTGCCATTTTATGAGACACTAAGGCACAAGAAGGAACAAGTCTTTCCTGAGGCTGAATTTATAATTTAAAGTCTATGTGCATGAATCTACCGAGGAACAAGGGTCAACCTCATCTGAAGGTCACCAGCATTCATTACTAATCTCTTCTTGAATTTGAAACCATCCAACAAGAGTTGCAGATGGTGGTGGTTTCTGCTAAAAGGCTGTGAGAATCGAAACTATCTTCCTTGCTGATCAAGATCTGACAAAATGTTGGTCTTCTGAGGTTTAATGGGTTAGAAGACAGGTAGATAGCATTGCTCAAAAAACAAAAAACAGAAAGACACCTGACCCCATTCTTCTTTGGAGCTAGGCAGAGCTGACTCTTGTCTGAGCACTAAGAAGGCAGGTCTGGCAACAGGGCAAATGCTAATGCTCCTTCCAATGCCAGGCTGTTATGCTGGATGCATTTTACAGGACACACAGACCAATGTTTGGGAGTGGGAAAGTGGAAAGCACAGGCTTTGAAATCAAATAAATCTGGGTTCAAACATCTGTTATTACTAGTTTTGTAACTGTGGACAAATTACTTAATTTTCCTAAGCCTCAGCTACTGTGAAAACTAAATGAGATAATGTATGTCTAATGACCTAGAGTAGAAAACAGTATATAGGTGTTCAATCAATGCTTGTTTGCCTTCCTTTTCCCCCACCCCTAGGGAGTTTAAAATACCCCGTTATATGGATTTGGCTAAAAATATATCTGAGTGTAGCCACTTGTTGTCTATCTCTGTTGGCTATAGAGTTGAGGCATTTTAACAAACACCAGATTTTGAACCCAGGATTGTCAAAACAAATAAACTATAGGTTAGGTCTTTGCTTTAAAAATTTATTCATCAAAGGATTTTTGTTGTTGTTGTTGTTGTTGCCAATTTTTGAACTGTGGCAAGCTCCATTTGCACTAAATCTGACAAAGACAAACAATACAAGCCAACCTTCGATCCAACCTGATTTAGATAACTTGTTCCATTTATTCTTTAATATCCACTTCCCGCATAAGCCTCTGTCCACATTATCACAGGGCTATCACAGTGGGCCCTTTGACAAGGCCTCAGGTAGAGGCAGTACTAAGCAGCACACCTACCTGTGTTGTCAAAAACAGTATCAATAAATGTGCAGTTCTTGAAGTAGGTGTTGAGTGAAGTCACATCCTCAAAGGTGCAGGACTTAAAAACAGAGTCTTTGAAAGTTACAGATTTGAACTTGACCCCTATGAATCTGCCCAACACACAGAAAAATTCATATCAATGACTGTGTCCATCAAAGTTCAAAGCTAAGTCAAACAGTTTTAGAGATGGAATGCCCCACTGTCTTAATTACAAAGAACACAGACTTCTGGATTTTCTTAGCTCTCTGCTTTTTCCCCTTTTCCTTATCCAGGCTGACCTTTGCCTATCTTGTTGCTTACCAATAAAGAGATGACACTCCTAACTTCCCTTAGCTTTTTGCAATGTTGGTAAAAAGTTTTGTGGGGTATGCAACTGAAGATACTTTGGGGATTACCTGGGGCTGTTCTTTAGGTTTTAATCCTATTGTCTCTTCACATATATCTTTACTTGAATATTCTCTATTTGGGGTTAATGCCTCTAACTTAAGGATGACCTCCTACCCGATCTTTTAATAAAATTATTTTTCCCTAGCTGAAAATCCAGTCTTCTTCATTCTAGTGTGGGGATCTCCAATTATCCCAAAGAGACAGCATGAGAATTCTGTTTCATTTATATGAAGAATAACTGACTTGGGGTTGAAGAAACTCATAGGTGACACTCATTTCCAGGATAATTTTTCTTCTTACAGCCAACAGATAGTCCCTTCAACCAAACAGAATTATGAGAACTCTGCTCATTTTTGGAAACATGAAGAATGATGAAACCTGTTCAGGTACATTTTTGGGTGTTATAAGGGGGAATTCTATGTGGTAAAAACGGTAACAGTCATAATGATCATAACATCTTAGAAGAGTCCATGATTCAGGCCTTATCAGCATTGATAAGGACTCCCAGCAAACACAGATAAATATTCATTAATGTGTCTTGGTACTTTTTTAAGAGACTATGAACGTACACTTAGCCAGTCACTGAGAAGAAAATGCTTGTTCTCCTGGGGAAGGAGTTATTATGTCAATACCAATCTTATTAGGGGCAGAAAGGGACTGATCCAGTCACTGAGAGGATAATCCTTGTTCTCCTGGGGAAGGAGTTATTATGTCAATACCACTCTTATTAGGGGCAGAAAGGGACTGATCCTTCTAGGTAAGTAGGTTGATTTAAAAGCAATTTACTAACTATTGAGTACTTTCAAAATCATTCTCTCCCTAATACCCAATTACATGTGTTGGTTCACAATGCACTGTGGCCTGACAGACCAATCAGCTTAAAAAAAATCATTACCTGGAAAAAATAATAATGACCTTGTTTCAATCCCCACTCCAGGGACCCAGAGTAAAAACATCTAAATGCACCAAAAGAGGCTAAATAATGGCATAGCTTTAAAAAGTTATCAATTTTTCTGTCATGGAACTGAATTTGGAAAAAGGAATGAATCAGTTTTATTTTTTGAATGGATAATTCAGAGAGTACACACAGTGCACAATTCGAAAGGTTGAATGCAGAAAAAGTCAGTCTTTACCCATCCATCCCTAGGCCACAAGTTCCTCTGCCCAGAATAACCATTGTTGTCAGTTTCTTGTGTGCTCTTCCAGGAGCATTCTGTGTCTAAAGTACACCTGCTTTGTCTCCTTCTAGTCTACCTTGGAGGTTATTCCATATTAGTACATAAAGAGTTGCCATTTTATGATGCTGAATAAAAAAGCTATTTTTAAAGAAATGAATTTGTTAATGGTATTTCAAATTTTCCTGAAGGAGAAAAAAATTGTTTCTATGATCTTTTAAAATAAATGTGTAACATACGTGTTTTACAAAAATTGTAATACTATTAAAATTAGTAATCATTATATTGTTAATGCAAAAAAGTTCTAAGCAGTGACCGAATATCCAGTTTAGAACTTTAACATATATTACTAAAAATATGACTGTCAGAGACACAAACAGATATTAGAAATTTCTAATGGAGTAACAATACTTTTGAAAGTCAGTTTTCACGCTGGCATCACAGAGGACTTGACGCTAAGCTTTCTGTGAAATGTAAGTGCAGATTCAAGTCAGTATTTTATGTGGGACAGTGAAGGTGATCCTACTTGGCTTGGATTATGATTAGTTCCTTCATTGAATTGCTAATTTGAACAATTACCTCCTAGTTAGTAACCCTCTTTTCCATTACACATATCATAAGCATCCCACTGAATTCTTTTTCATCTTTCTGAACTGGTTTTTGCTCTGCGGAACTTTGATTATTTTAGAGTTTTACTTTTATCACTTTTGAAATTGGGACAATTTCCTAAGAATGATGCAAACTATCATGAACTTCCACTGGCAATTATTTGTTCAGGCAACAAGAATACTTGGATATAAACAAGTACTTGGTCTACTCTTTTCCCTGTCTAAAAGAATGACCCAGGACCACCTCCCTGAGGCGGTTCTCTCTCGTCATCAAGAAATATTTCAGATCCCATAAAGAAGACCCTTCTATCTTTCAAAGCCCTTTACTTCAGGGAATGATTCCTATTATCTAATTGAAACTCTTCCTGATGCAATTTGACCTCAATTCTGGATTCAGCATATTGGGAAGGGTGAATTCTGAAAAGTGGCTCTGTTTCTCAGGAATAGAAGACTCATATAATCACATTTCAGGTTTCTTCTGTGAATTAAATAATCCTATAGCCTGTCTTATTTTCCCATACTCTTCACTCTTCTCTTCCTTCCATTATTTTTGTCGCTCTCCAACATTGCTCTAAATTTTCTTTCCACACCAGTCAAGTCCACTACTTAATAAATATGAAGCAACTTAGCTGCAAAAATAGTTTTAAGTGAAATAATGGATACACTTGTACCTTTTATTTAAAGCCTATTTGGAAGTATTGAAATTCACCATGAAAATGACTAAATGCACAAACTAAAACAAACAAACAAAAAAAAACAATGCCTGTTTCGGTGCAGGGAAGGCTAAGAAGAAATGTTTTTGTGGATAGGTAGCAAATTAAATTATTTCAAGTTTCTAGACCTGCCATTGTCGTATTCCATTCCAGTATGAATCTGATTTTCCATTGTAAAGTTAATACTGAAATTTGCATATTTATCTCTCTGCACATTTCTGGTTAGCAATGCATATTCATCGGACTGCAGATGTTTAATGACATCAGGAAACCAAACAGATAATCCATAGTACCTGTGAAGACAAAGAAATGTGAGTTTGTAAAGGTGCTAGCATGCCAGAGGCAATGAGCACCTCCCTGGTGTTTTCACCGTGGTAATAGTTCCTGGAGAATGGTTGGCTCCCTATAATACTATGAGTAATTCATCATACAGCAATCCATGTGTCCCTCTCCCCCAACATTAATCTGCAAAACTCAAGCTTGAGAGATGGCCTAGGGTTAGCTGGAGAACCCCAGGTATGTAATCCCTAAACCCTTCCTTTGGGAAGAGACATGCAGAAAGCATCCCATCCTATGCTCATACATGGTGCCTGGTCTGAATATGTGTTGGAAACTCATGTGTTGGAACTAAAACCCCAATATAATAGTATTAGAGATGTGGGCTTTAGGAAGTGATTAAGTTATGAGGGCAGAGACCTCATGAATGAGATTAACGTCCTTACAAAAAGAGGTGCGAGGGTGCTGCCTCCCTCACTTTTCCCCTTCCATCCCTTCTACCACATGAGGACACAGTATTTGTCCCCTCTTGAGGACTCAGCGACAAGCTGCCATCTTGGAAGCAGAGACTGTGCCTTACTGCACACTGAATCTGCCAGCAGCTTGATCTTGGACTTCCAGCCTTCAGGACTGTGAAACATAAAATTTCTATTATTTACAAATTGCCTGGTGTGGTATTTTGCTATAGCGGCAGAAATGGAGTAAGACACCTGGTATCCTGGCCCCAATATCTTTCTCATCATTCCAGGCTGCTCTGAGAAACTCTCCCTCCTAGTCTGGGTGGTACAAACTCCTGGGATCCAAGCATGGTGAGAGCTCTTAAAGAATGACCTCTTTTGCTAATGAGGAATCTTTCTTGGTTGCTACACTGCTGTGATACTGCTATCCTGGGGGTAGAGTGCCAGTTCCCAAGGTAGTTCGAGGCTGTGAAAAGGACATTCGTGTTATTCTCAGAGATTCCAAGTTATTTCCCCTTTCTGCCTCTTGACCTCTAATGTGTTATTCTAACAGCTGTGTCATGCTGCTGTGCTGTTCTATACAGAAGCCACCAACCACGTGTGCCTACCAAGCAGTTGAGATGTGGCTAGTTCAAACTAACATATACTATAAATATAAAATACCACAGGATTTTGAAGACTTACGGAAAAAAGAATGTAAAAATATTTGCTAATAATTTTTATACTGATCATAGGTTGAAATGACGATGGCTCATGCCTGTAATCCCAACACTTTGGGAGGCCAAGGCAGGTGGATCACGAGGTCAGGAGATCGAGACCAGCCTGGTCAATATGGTGAAACCCTACCTCTACCCAAAATACAAAAATTAGCCAGGCGTGGTGGTGCATGCCTGTAATCCCAGCTTCTCAGGAAGCTGAGGCAGGAGAATCGCTTGAACCAGGGTGTCGGAGGTTGCAGTGAGCTGAGTTCGCGCCAATGCACTCCAGCCTGGCGACAGAGTGAGACTCCGTCTAAAAAAAAAAAAGGGAAAGAGAGAATGAATGAAACAAAATGTAGTATTAAAATTAATTTTATCTATTTCCTTTTACTTTGTGTGTGTGTGTGTGTGTGTGTGTGTATGGCTACCAGAAAATCTGAAATGAACATCTGTGGTTCACATGATATCTCTATTGCACAGTGCTGCTCTGAAGTAGTACCTCCCAAGGTAAGGTCCCCGGACCAGCAGGATCATCATCCCCCACAAACCCAGGTTCCAGTGAAACCTGATGAATTAAAAACTCTGGCAGGGGAGTCCTCCAGGGATTCTTCTGATGCACATTCAAGTTTGAGAACCACTGCTCTAGTTTATCCCCAGTGACAAAGGGACACAAGGAAAGAAGTGGGAATGGGCATAGCCTTTGCAGGAGGACAGGCTGGGTTTGAATCCTGGTCTTGTTGCTTACTAGCTGCCTAAACTTGGGCCAGTTATCTAACCTTCAGTTGCCCATCTCTACTATTGGAATGATGGGAATATCCACCTTCCTGGGTGGTTGCTCAGTTTAAATGGGATGTCAAATATCTAGCACATAGAAAGTGCTCAGAAGACAGTATGAGTCGTTTTTATCATCATTGTCATTAGGATTCCAGAAACATCTGTGCCTCAGGATTTCCACCCCTTTTCTTCATAGTAATGACTGTGGGGGTGTGAGGGTAGTTATTGAGGAAGAAATGACTTAGGGATACAACATTTATGGCATTGGTCTCTAGTCACATACAAACCTTGAAATGGCAACAATGAGGAGGGCACATTACCCTAGAATGTCCATTATCAACGATGTTGGAGGGCTTTCGTTTAATTTGTCATTTATTTAGCAAACATTTACTGAACATGCACTAAATACTAGGCACTATTAATGTTCCAGGGATATAGCAGTAAAATAAATCATAAAGCTTAAAATACAATCAATAATGAATTAGTAAACAAAATAAACAAACCAGATAATGATGATTACTCTTTACACCTTGACAGCAGGACTTCCTTCTTGCTTATCTTTGTCTTCTTTGTCCTTAACCCCTTGCTTAGGTACAGAGTAAGCACTTAATATAGGCTAATTTTCAGCCTTCCCTTCCTTCAGAGATTAACGGATTTTCTAGAGCTTGGGTGGGATTTACTTTACATATTCTAAGTCAACCCTCTTAATTTAGAAATGAGGAACTGAGACTAAGCAATGTCTGCAAGTCACAAGCCAGCCAAACCACCCAGCAGAATGGGCTGCTAGGCCTCCTGACCCCCAGCTTCCTTCTTTCTCCATATTCCACCTTCTCCGGCACTGAGAAAGAGGGGTCATCTTTGATCACTTGCCTGGTTTGATTTAGGGATGTTAAGAGATGAAACTTGCAACATAAATGTTAGGCTCTATAAGGTACTGAGATCCTGCTGACCTGAAAGTGTAGGGTATTATCTAATTCTTCTTTTCTAAACAGCAAATTAGGCAACAAGAGAGTTGTATATACACATTCTAAAGGGACTATGTCAGCGATTAGCAAATAAAATCTTGATATTTTCTCCCTATTTCCTCTTTTCTTAGAACACATATATGGCAGTTTTATTCATTTGGCAACAACTATTTACTGAGCTGCTATTGTGTGCCAGGAATATACATTAGTGAATAAGACATAAACAAAATTATTATTATGTTTTAGAGATGGGGTCTGGGTATGTTGTCCAGGCTAGAGGGCAGTGGCTATTCACAGGTGTGATTATAACACACTTAAGCTTCCAACTCCTGGGCTCAAGCAATCCTTCACCTCAGCTTCCAGAATAGCTTGGAATATAGGTGCATGGCACCACATTCAGCTTTGAACAAGGCAGTTAAAAATTCCTGTTCTCATGGAACTTCCAGAGAGGGAAGCCAGAACTTTACTCTTTATACAGAATAAAGGAGCATTTTGCATATTAGAAGGTAGAAAGTGCTGCGGGGTAAAGTAGAGCTGAGAAGGGGATAGGGAGTGTGGAGGGGCTGCAATTTTTTTAAAAGAGAGGATGACATCACTGAGAAGGTAACATATAGGAAAGAGTTGAAGAGGGTAAAGAAATGAACTGGGCAGATGTCTGGAGGGGAAAGCAACTCAGGCAGAGGAACACTGCAAAGCCCCGAGACGGGAACTGTTCTAGAATGTTCGAAGAAGAGCAGAGAGGCTGGTATGGCTGGGACTGGGCAAAGGAGGACAGGACAGAGAAGTCATGGGGCAAATCATCCAGGGCCTTACTGGATTTTGCAGATACAACTGGTTTTGCTACCTTGGCTTTATGACAAAACAAATAAAATAACTGATTTATAACAACCACAACTCTCAGCAAACCTAAGCTGAAAAAAAATTTCTTCCTTAGCAGGTTAACAGTATCAAACAATATAAGAAAAGAAAGCAGCATGGCTGGGAGTTACAATGTGGACACTGAACAATTTTGCTTGCCAAGAATTTAAATATCACTTACCCAAAGGACAGGGTGAACCAAACAATCGTAAGCTTTATTGTATTATCCCTGACTGGGTAGTTGAAACATCTCATAAAAGTCAACCAAATCTGTGAAATATTAGAGAGTTAGTTTTCTCATGCAGTTACTTAGTCAACCCCACTCCCCGACCCCTTCCACTAAATTATAAAAAAAGCTGAGTTGTCATTGGGTTGAATTCATTTCACCTTAAAATGTAAAAGCTAAAGGTAATTGGAATTTTCATTCTTCAGCTTCCTGGATGCCAATGGACAAAGTGACTCAAGACTTGAAGGCACCCTGCCACTGCCAAGACTCCTGGCCTAACTAACACTTTCCCTTTCCATCTTTCCATCTTCCCCAGATGGAATGTATTGGCTAAACGCTGGTGGAGAGGGATCCAATGACCTGGCTGTGGTCCAGGAGTCAGGTGTTGGGGGCAGGAGGAAAGAACCTCGCTCGTAGGGCAGGTCCAGCAAACCCCTCTTCTGACTAACCTCAAATGCAATAAAGTGACATGCAGGTCATCATGGGACTTGTTACTTACTCCGTATAGCTCGGTGCGGATCCGAACAAAACACCTCCTATACCATGTTCCTGTGTCACTCTCAATTTCAATCAGCTCATCTATTTGTTTAGGAGTTTTTATTTTGTTTACCTGTAGAGAGAAACAGATCAAAGTGCTAAGTTACCTTCTCTAAAGTTGCTGATTATAGACTTACAATTTGTTTTTACAGGAGCAAAAACTGACTCTGGCAAAAAGTAGGCGGTATTTGGTAATCACTTCATACATATATGAGACCATTGGCATAATTATACAGATCCGAACAGCACCTAAAAGAACTGAAGAAGGAATGACTGAGAGGGGAAAACCACAAATAAATGGGGGAAGGGCAAGTAGTAATAGAATAATGTGAAACCAAAATGCCCTTCCTGAACCATTACTACAGAGACACACATTAGCAGACTAAACATCCAGATAAGTTAGATTCTGGATTAAGAATTATTTAGCTTGGGCTAAAGTGAGTGTACACATTTTTTTTTCTTTGAAACATACTTATTTGATGAATTTGACCCTTAACTGTAGTTCTGAAAGCATTCCCATCATTATTCTCAGAGCACCACTTCCAGTCCTTTTCTTCCTTTTCCCACAGCCTAACCCACAGTGGCTAGTCAGCAAATACCCACAGGTAGCCACGATTCAAGATTAAGTGAAGGAGTTTTGATTGCAAGCATCAACACGAATTTCTCAGCCATGTAAGGGAAATAAATGATAGAGGTTTAGCATGAAAAGCAGCATCTATGACTTCAGTTAGCCTCTTTTTGCTAAGGAAGAGAACCACAAGACAGGAGAAGCAAAGAGAATGAATCCTGAAAATAGAAAAAAAGGAAGAATGGGTCCTTTGTGGGCCTGGCCCGCCTTCTCCTGCTAATCAAGATTTACCTGTTTTTGATAAATCTGAGAGGACATGGAAATGTGTACACATTATCCCTGCCAGAGGTTTGAACAGGTTTTTCTGGACACCCTGCCAACATCTAAAGTGGCAACTCTATTGGCAGAATACAGGTACCTAGGCCAGTTTTAGACAGAGGTGGCCTGGAGACCCTCAGCATCTTTCAAATTATACCAAGTAGGCAGTGGCTTCTTTCCAGCCGGGTAAACAAAGATGTCTGTACTCAGCAAAAATAATCTCTGAGTTAAATATGGAATTCCAAATCAAATGCAGTCAGCTCAAAATAATCCATGTAGGAATTATGTTTTTAAAACTCTAGATTAAAAAAAAGTGGTTTTTTTTGTTTTTTTTTTACATCATGGGATAGTCCTAATCCACTTTTGGGAGGCTTCCTCTTTTTCACTCATTGATGTTTGTTTGTTCATTTATTCATTGGCACCCATGCGGGATGCAAACATAGGCAGCCATGGGGCTCCAAACAATTACCATACAAAATGAAAAAAAAGTACTCCAATGGGGATCTATATAGATGGGAAGGAAATACTGTTCAGAACAGCCCATTTAACCTGGAAGTGAGAGAGAGGCTTCAGGAACTGCAGGCTTATAGAGAAATATGCTATCTGCCATGCATATAACCTGCTTGGAGGACATTCCAAGTGGGAGAAATATGTGCAAACAAACGTCCAGAGTTAGGAGGGAAAAGAGTGTGCCAGGAAACTGCAAAGAGCTTGGGATTCCTGAGGGATAGCAGAAGGTCAGAGGGCAGTGAATAAGGAGGACTGCACCAAATCAGCAGCAGTGGACTGATATTTAGGAGGTGGAATAATAGAACACAATGGTTTCTTAGATGTACTGAAGCTAAAAGAAAGAATATAGTTTTTAGGTTTAGGTGGTGCTGGTGGTAGCTGCTGATGAAATTTAGGACAATGATAAGGCTTGGGGACTGGTTAGGTGATAAATTCAGATTTAAAGATGCCATTTCCCCCCACCCCTCGCTGCCCAAAGATGCCATTTTTGAAGGGCCTATGTAATCTAGAAGGATGCCCACAGAGCCCTTCAACCTGCATGTCTGGAGGTCAGGAGATTTGTGCATTAGGAGACACACAGGAAACAGCTGAGATCAGCTAAGGAGAGTGAATAGGGTTAAAATGGAAGTTAGCTGAAAATGAAGTCTTGGAAAACAATATTTAAGGTAAGGGCACACGAAGAAGAGCTTCAGAGGAAACCTTAAGAGGGCCAGGCATGGTGACTCACATCTGTAATTCCAGCCCTTTGGGAGGCTGAGGCAGAAGGATCACTTGAGCCTAGGAGTTTGAGACCAACCTGGACAGCATAAGGAGACCCGTTGTGAATTATCTACAAATAATTCAAAAATCAGCCAGGTATGGTGGCACATGCCTGTATTCCCAGTTACTAGGAAGGCTGAGGCAGGAGGATCACCTGAGCCAGGGAGGTTGAAGCTGCAGGGAGCTGTGATCACACCACTGCACTCCAGCCTAGGCAAGAGAATGAGACCCTGTCTCAAAAAAAAAAAAAAAAAAAGAAAGAAAAAAAAAGGAGACCTTAGTAAAGACATGCAATTTTGCTATACTGTAGATTCAAAAAATAAAAAGATAAATTTGCCATGGGAGAATCATGTAACAACTTTTTGAAAGTCACATATAAATGACTGAAATTATCAGTCACTTTTGGAGTATCTCCATCTTATTCTCTTCTAACCTTCGTACAACAACATTAACACAGATTGCCATTAGTGGACTTGGTAACTCAACCCTTTTGGAAGAAAAGGCAGGTAAGTAGGGCAATGAGGCCCTACAGAGACACCTTCTCAGAAGGTCTGGTCAATAAAGGGTTTCTCTTCATCTGGCTGAGAAGAGTTAAGTGATGTTGTATACCCAGATAATGTCTCAAGATTCTTCCAGCCTTATGATCCTTTAAGTTAAAATTTTTTCCCTCTCTTACACATCTACTCAAAAGAAGAGTCCTCAACAGCTTCCAGGCCTTAATTGAGGATATCTATTACTTATCTTCATTTCTGCATTACACTGCAGAGAAAATTTTGCTAATTAAGAATCTGTGATAATTTGGATAGAGGCCAAATTGCAGTCTATCTTTACATTATGAAAAATTCATTTCCTAAATAAAATGAAATGAATAAATGAGATAGCAGGGGACTACTTAATCAGAAGTGATTTCGTGTGTTTTAAGAACTGTAATTGATGTTATGTATAAGTCACTGAAGATCTTACGTATGTTCCCATTTACATCTTATGGTACGTCCCTCCAACCTATTGTAGACAAAACATTTTTAGTCTATTTTTTTGTTTGTTTGTTTTTCTGAGACGGAGTCTCGCTTTATCGCCAGGCTAGAGTGCAGTGGCACCATCTTGGCTCACTGCAATCTCTGCTTCCTGGGTTCAAGCCATTCTCCTGCCTCAGCCTCCTGAGTAGCTGGGATTATAGGCACATGCCACCACACCCAGTTAATTTTTGTATTTTTAGCAGAGACGGGGTTTCATCATGTTGCCCAGATGGTCTCGATCTCCTGACCTTGTGATCCGCCCACCTCGGCCTCCCAAAGTGCTGGGATTACAGGTGTGAGCCACTACACTCGGCCATTTTTAGTCTAATTATATGACTGCATATATCGAAAGATTTTAAACCATTGTTCCTTCCAAACCATTTCATGCAACCAATTTAAATTAATTTATACTAGCTTTCCCCATGGAGAATCAGCTTTGTAACTAGAGATGGAGGAATGTTCCATGCAAAGCAAACAGCAGCACCATGGCAGTGCTGTATAATAAGTCAAATGTTGAGTGCGAGGAGTTGAGGGATGAACGTAGCTGCAGAGAGAGGGGAACCAGACAGCAGGCAGGAAGGAGACTGGGAGGGCCTTAGTGTCCAGAGGGAGGGTTTCTGTCTTTATCCTGAGAGCAATGGGAAGCTGCTAGAATGTGAAACTGGGGTGTGTGTTATGTATGTGTGTGCCCATGTGCATGCATGTATAATAAAATGAAATATATATTTTTGGAACTGTATCTATGATTCTTTTATACCTTACGTTCATGTCAAGCTATATCAAGTTGAAGCCACATTCTTGGATTACCTTTCTCTGGCTTCCTATATAGCTACCTTCCCTTACCAAATTCTGATTAATTATTAACCTAAGAAATGGCCATGTGTGAAATGTCTGCCTTTATGTAAAAGTATTATTGAAAATAATGTACATTATATTGTTCAATATCCCTTATAATAAGGCCTATGAATAAACTTTTCACAAATTAGAACAAAATAAAATTGGCCTTTCCTGAAAAGCGAATATACTGCCATTTGCCTTATATCAATAATGATATAATTCATTAAATTTATCCTTTGCTTTGGTTGTCAGGTGATACGGTTTGGCCATGTCCCCACCCAGATCTCATCTTGAATTGTAGTTCCCATAATCCCTACGTGTTGTGGGAGGGACCCAGTGTGAGGTAATTGAATCATGGAGACAGTTACCCCCATGCTGCTGTTCTCATGATAGTCAGTGAGTTCCAATGAGATCTGACGGTTTTACAAGGGGGTTTTCTTCCTTTTGCTCAGCATTTCTCCTTGTTGCGGCCATGTGAAGAAGGACGTGTTTGCTTCCCCTTCTGCAATGAGCAGAAGTTTCCTGAGGCCTCCCAGCCATGCTGAACTGTGAGTCAATTAAATCTTTTTCCTTTATAAATTGCCCAGTCTTGGGTATGTCTTTATCAGCAGCGTGAAAATGGACTAATATATCAGGAAACCCAGAGATTAGTTTTATGTTCAGTTACATTGCTTTGATCCTTAGTGTAATTATTTTCTCACTTATTCGATACTGTATTTTTTTGTTTTCAATAAATAATTTTACAATTTACTATGTATTCCAAGGTCTGTTACAGGCCTCAAGGTGGTCTTAATAGAGGCATACCTCTCTAAGATGTCTCTCTGACGTCTTAGAGAAAATGTTATGGGGCTGCTGTGAGTGTATACCTTTGTGGGGGCTGAGTGTCATTTGAAAAGGTGTGACCTGGCCGAGTGGAGGAAATGGCCCTGCAGAGGCTGGCTCTCTTCTGGTAGTAGGTCAAGGAGAATCAGCTGGCAGTCCCTACACCAAGAATCTCTTGTCCTCAGGTACCGAGCCTTTGAGTCAGAGAATAAGTCTGTGATGAAAATGCAGTCTTTCCACCTTAACCCCATCTCTTGGGTTGGTGTTATAATTTAATCAACCACAGAGCCCTTGAGTCCTAGATAGGCATAAGCGAGGTTGGCAACCTATGGGCCAAGCACAGCCCTCTGCCTGTCTCTGTAAATAAAGTTTTATTGACACACAGTCATCCCATTTGTTTTAACATTGCCTATGGCTGCTTTTGCACTACAATGGCAGAGTTGAGTAGCTGTGTCAAAGACTATACGACTTGCAAAGCCTAAAATATTTACAATTTTTCCCTTGACATTAAACATGTCCCAATCCCTCGTGTTGAGGATTCTCTGAGGAGAAGACTCACCGTGAAGACCTTCTCAGGCTGACCCCGGGCTCTCATGTTGGTGTCATGAATTAACTTCAGAATCATCCAAGCTTCATCATGTTTTCCAACCTAAGAAATGAGAGAGGACAGTGAAGCGCTAGGAGTGACACACTTACTGTCCCTGATTTTCCAATAGCCATCTTGCATTGTCAGATCAAATGAGGTGTAATTGTGCAAATGTATCTCAGTACATCCCATTGGAACGCACAGACTATTTGGATATCACTGAATACCTGAGCAGTTCAAATAATGTGGTTATAACTAGAAATAGTATCTCCAGATGGTAAAATTTCACTATAAAACAATAAATCATGTTTTCTCCATTGAGTCAAGTTATTTGCTTAAGGAGAAACATGAATGTTTTCTAGCCACGAGGCAGCTTTTTAACATGTTGGCTGTTGAAAGCAGGTCTCCATGAAACCAAACCCTCCATCATTCCATAATAGGAAGGGAAAATGTACCTCTCAAATAGGCAAATGTGCTTTCCTAAAATTAACATGGAACTTTTTCCAATAGAGGTGGGCTGCCTGAGTATCTGCAATAATAACTGTTACCTCCAACAAGAATCGTGGGCTTTCAGGCATGAACGTGAGGGCCACCACGGAGGAGACACAGGGGAGTGCACAGACGATGACAAACACACGCCAACTGTGAAACTGGTAGGCCGATCCCATGCTGAAGCTCCAACCTGGAAAAGGAGGACAGGGAGAGTGAGGGAGAGCTCCTCCTAGACAGCGTCCTGGGAACGTCACCCAGGGTGCCCAAGCCATCGACTTATTAGTCAAGTCTTACTATCCACAGAGCAGTGAGCTGATCTGGGCATCATCCATGGTGGCCAGCTCAACTTTAAGACCCATAATGGCAGAGCTGAGAAGAAAGGTGCTTGGAACTAAAGGGGTCAAGGCCTAAGTATGGGGGTGCAGGTATGTATGTACCAAACCCCAAAGGCCAATGTAAATTTGGGATGCTCTTTCCAATAGACCACTGTACTAGTTATCTTTTGTTTGCTCTTCCAGATCACTCTCCACTCTTTCCCACTCTGCTGTGTGCTAGAGAATGGCTCTCTATGGACTGGCTCATGAGCATCAACTGGCTCCGTTGCCCGCTGGCTTGTATAGCTAAGTTTGAATAAAGGAAGGAAGGCAAGAGAACCAAGTGAAGGAGGGTTGGGATATTTATTTCCCTTGCTTCCCTTCTGCCTTCCCCCTGCCTGGCTAGAGGTCTGGAAGTGGGTGCTCTCATTTCGTGGGCCTTCTTCCACAGCAGCCACAGCTCTTGTCAGGGTCTGGCTACCTGTCCCTCCTGTTGCTCTTTGAGGCATAGGTGGATCCAGGGTGCTTTATTATTCCTTATTGCTTTCTCTGAACAGTTTCCACATCTTTATAAAGAGTCCCTTCATTAAACTCCTTTCCACGGCCCCTTTTGAGGGTGTCACTAGCTTCCTGCTGGCACCCTGACCAGCACAATTATTAGGAATTGGCGGTTGCTGCATGTCTCCTCATCCACCTCATGTGATAGATCCACAGAATTTTACATTTCTAAATAGAACACTTTAACTTCTACATATTATGAAAAGAAAAAATTTTATATATTATAAAAATAAGCATAATGGGAGACAAACAGAAATCCTTTCAAGAACTAAAAGAAAGCTAATATTTGAATGAATATAAAATGGCTGAAAGCAAACCATTTGATATTCATTCAAACGAATATAAAATTCATTCAAATGGCTGGTTCTAAATGAGAAATAATGAGGCATATCCCATCTAATTGAAAACAGAGAGCAGATTTATAAAGGCATAGATGGATTATGTGAGGTGAAATTTTAATCTCTAGCAATGCTTGGAATTTATATGCCTTTTTGTGAACAACAATCAGATAGTATACATCCTATCTCCAGGAGACCTGTATAATTACTCATTGTTTACCTGGGAGCCAAGTGAGATTCTGAAGGTGATGAAACTTCCTCAAGGCTACAGAGCTGAAGTTACACATTAGTCTTTCCTGCCAGGATTTGAAACAGAATCTTACAGCCACACACAGCCTCATGTGTGTGCACGCTTACTCATTCTTAAATGCTGAATTTGTGACAAATGATGTAAACATCAATGACATGCTATATTAATCTTAGACTAATAGAATCTTTCTGGGAATTTAATATATGAAGATAATATATTACCATATTAATTATATCATAAACTGTAGGGTGTATGATTGCTATGATGTTTTATGTAGCAGAAGTTCAAAACTCTCACATATCCAAAATGCAGAAAAAACCCTATGATGGATCAGAGAAAACAACTTGTTCGCTTCACATTTGATCTCAGAGCTTCATATAAAGAACTTCTTTTTAAAAGCTTTAAATCCTATTACTTTAAGGGACTGAAAGAAAAAATAAAAGCTTTAGGTGGCTGAGTTAAGCAAATGCAATGTTTTAAATTTCAGGCCACAGCACATTTCATAAAGTATAGGGGGAAACAGCGAAGGCAAGAGAAGGGAAGGTCTCTGGTACCACTGTTCTTTTGTTTTGGTTTTTGTTTTGAGACGGAGTCTCACTCTATTGCTAGGCTGGAGTGCAGTGGTACAATCTCAGCTCCTGGGTTCAAGCAATTCTCCTGCCTCAGCCTCCCAATTAGCTGGGACTACAGGTGCACACCACCATGCCCAGCTAATTTTTGTATTTTTAGTAGACAGGGGGTTTCACCATGTTGGCCAGGCTGGTCTCAAACTCTTGAGCTCAAGTGATCCGCCCACCTCAGCCTCCCAAAGTGTTGGGATTACAGGCCTGAGCCACTGCTCCCAGCCTTGTTTTTGTTTTGCTTTGTTTTGCTTTTTGAGATAGAGTCTCACTCTGTTACTCAGGCTAGAGTGCAGTGGCACGATCTCGGCTCACTGTAATCTTCGCCTCCTGAGTTCATGTGATTCTCATGCCTCAGCCTCCTGAGTAACTCTGGGATTACAGGTGCATGCCACCACGCCTGGCTATTTTTTTTTTGAATTTTTAGTAGAGACGAGGTTTCACTATGTTGGCCAGACTGGTCTCGAACTCCTGATCTCAAGTGATCCGCCCACCTTGGCCTCTCAAAGTGCTGGGATTACAGGTGTGAGCCACTGTGCTAGCCTCTGGTGCCACTGTTCTAATCAATTGTGGAGGAAAAGTTAAATATTAAATTTGAACTCAATTGAATATGGACACAAACAATGGTCACCAAGTCCCAGAACAGGTTGTGTGAGCCCCTTGAGGCATTCATCCAGCACTGTTTCGGAGAAATCTCTATTTCAATCAATTCCTATACATTAGTTATTGAAAAACAATAGACAATCACAAAAACAGGTTGACTTTTTTGTGTTCCTTGAGCCCAGTCGCAAAGGGCTATCGTGACTGGGCCTCATGCCAAACAACTTGTTACAAAAAGAGTTAGGGTCCCAGAGTGCGCCGAAGCTTCATGAGACCTCTCCTTGTCTGTACATGGATCAGTGGCCGACTCTGGAGCCCAGGCTGTTGCTTCCCAGTCTGGGGGTGAATCCTCCATAGTCTTGTGAATGTAAATCTCTTCCCTTCTCCCCTTCCCATTGCAATCTGCTTATTATATCAATCTGCTTATTATATCGTTTGCTTATTATATCAATTTGCTTATTATATCTGCATTGCCATTTATGTGGGATAAAGCTTGTTTACCCTTAAAGGTACTGTGTGTGTGCCTTTTCTTCTCCCCTCACGTGTTTCTCACACAGAACATCAATTAGTTCAGAAGGTAAAGTTTTCAAAGGCAAACAGGATGAAGTGATTTAACCAAAGAGAAAGTTGCTACAATGGATACAGCAGGAAGCTTCTTACGGTAGAATAATATTCCCTCACCCCTGAAGATGTCCTCATCCTAACCTGTGAATATGTTACCTTAATGCCAAGGGGCTTTGCAAGTGTTAAGGATCTTGAGATAAAGAGATTATTTTATATTATACAGTTGGGCTCAAGGTAAATACAAATGTCCCTAGAAGGAAAAGAGGGAGGCAAGAGAGTCACACTGAGAAAGGGAGATGGGTTGAGGGAAGCAGTTTGGAGAGAGATTTGAAGATGCTGTGCTGCTGGCTTTGAAGATAGAGGAGTGGGTCACAAACTAGGGAATGCAGGTGGCTGGTAGAAGCTGGAAAAGACAAGGACACAATCTCTCCTAGAGCCTCCAGAAGGAGACTCTAGAAGCCCTGCCAACCCATTTAAACTTTCGATCTCTAGAACTGTCGGATAATAAATCTGTGTTGTTTAAAGCCAATATGCTCACAGTGATTTGTTGCAGCAGCAACAGAAACCAATACACTTCTTACAGTTAAAGCTTTACTGCTAACTTGGCTGATAGAAGTTAAGTTGGAGAACTGTAGCATTCTCTATAAAACGTCAGGCTCCCTGCCCTTTTTTTTTTTTTTTTTTTTACTTTGCATAACAAGCTTATTTTTTAAAAAGTCATATAAACAATAAACAAATTTTTAATCAGATCTTAACTTCTGTCCTAGAATCGTTCCATTAAGTTCTAGTCTATGAACACTTTTAGCTCAATAATCGTCATCTTCATCAGCGTCCATTACTTTTCTTCTGTTGAATTTCACTGTTGTTGTCTTTTCTGTTTGCTGATTTACTTTTTTTAAGGATTTCTATTAAACCTAGTTCTGAGAAGGTATCAACCTTCTCACTTAGTTGTCCATATCTTGTCATCTGTATAAGGTAATTCTCTACTGCTTCAGTTTTTTTAGGTTTTACAAGTCCTAAGTTACTTAACCTGGCCCGGGGCCGACTGACTCAGAACTTGGGCTGAGATACAGTTTCTCATTTCTGCCTCCCTGTGCTTGGCTTCCTGTTGGGCAGCATCACCGGGATCCTGCCATCCCGGCGGGCTCAGACCCTGCCGCGCACCCCGCGGCGCTCTCAACACCGGGAACACAGTGGACCCTCACCTGTCGGCTGAACTTGGGTCAGAACAGCTGAATTCGGCCTGGCTGCAACTGCTGGCTCCAAAAGCTGAGATTGTGCTTGGATCCAGGCCTGGCAGGATGAGCCTGCTCTGGGCCAGCGGACCCTACATCCCCACACCTGGGCAGGTCCTGCACGTGGCAGCCCCTGCCGCCCGCCTACCAGGCCCCCCATGGGGAAAGCAGCCAGGCCACCTCGGAGCCGGCCACGAGGCTGCCGGGGCAGCGCCGGGCAGGCTCCCTGCTTTTGCCTGGACTTCTCCAGAAGCCTCTCTAAGGACGCCAGGCTCCGTCTTGACAGCTGGTCTTGGGAATTTTGTTCTTCACTCTTATTGCTCTGGAACATCATATCAGCTGGTGGAGAGACTGATTGCAACACGATTCCAGTTGGGCCGTTTTCAGCCTCCCAAGGAACTGGACCACAATGGAAACCCAGAAGACAGCTAACTGATGAGAGCTGGCAGAGCAGTCCAGCTCTGCTCAGCTTAGAATCGTTCATTCCAGTGGAGATTCTTCCACCGAACAGCTGAAATTTAGCCTGCTTGTTGCTGTTGAGGTCCTTCTCTCCCTCATTGCTTAGCGTGTGTGCATAGCGTGTGTGACACACACATATAAACACATACATGCTGGTGGTGTCTCTCTCTCTAAAGGGTGTGTTGTCCACTCATTTCTCTCTCCATTTGTTTGTAATATGCTTATTTCCCCCAGTCTCCAAAACAATTTTAT